GACCTTGCTGTTTCTCAGGACAAAACTAACTCTATTGACCACCTCCCTGCTGATGAGATTCACAACACACACAGGTCGCATCGCCCGCTTTGAGTCTCCTCAACCCTCATACAAAATCAGGAAATGCACGTTCGCTCTCAGACAACAGAAATCAGGCACTGCTACTTCTACTGAAACTAGGATTATGCCTAAAAACATGAGGGAATAAGAGGATCAGATGGATTGATTGATCTCCAGAATAAGTATTAATTCTTCTTTCAAGCAGACGCTTAAGAGCATTCATGCAGGCACATAAAAAGCTGTCCAATTGAAATCTACTTAAAAACAATGTCTTTTGATGTTTTACTACGGAGCAATTCTTTACGAATAACTTATAAATATCTAGAAACAGAGTACTAAAAAGGAGATACTGACAAACCCGAGATTCACTGGCTATGGCATATTTTGCTTTTGATCTGTCTGAGCAACTATTACTTTGTCAATACGAGCAGTGCACACTGACCAAGGGCAATCTATGTCTATGCATTTTTTACTCACTGCAAATTTAGTTCTGCACAGGCGAAATCACACTGGCAGAATGCAGGATCTTATATGCATTTTCTCTGCCGCTCTGCACAACACGTGAGGAATGCTAATCAGCACTTGAAAGGGAACACGGGCTTTCAAAGAAGTCCCACCAAAATGCAAAATGGGAATACTTCCCTACCAAAGAGTCCAGGAGAACTTGTTAATCATCTGGAAGCAATAACTCTCACTTCCTTTTTTTTCCCCCCTTCATTGCTAATTTAAGATTATCCTCAAAGGATCCGTTGTTCTTTTTTTCTTTCCCCTTTTGGTAATGGAATTAAGAGCATAAACAAACAAAGCAACCAACCTAAAGGCTGAACAGACCTGGGTAACAGCTGAATTGCCCTTCCCTGCGCTGAACTTGGACGTTTAGGGTCACTGCCTTGGGCACAGTGTTTGGTTGGGTCTTCCCGCTGGAAAACCCGCCGGAGCCGCTGTCGGGAAGGGCCTGCGGCCGCTCTGCCCCCGAGACAGACGAGGCAGCTCCATGGGCAGCGGTCAGGGCTCCGCGAGACAAAGGCGCCGGGAGGGAGCAGGGAAAAGAACAGCCGGGGCAGGGCCCGAGCTGCACGGAGGGGAGGGCAGCTCTGAGCCTCCGCGGGCAGCCGGAAAACATCCAGCGCGTTGGAGGCACGGGGAGAAGTGGGTTCCTTCATGCAGTACTCTCATCCGAACTGGCAGATCCTGCCTTAGCCCCAGTGCAAGGGTTGGCTGAAGGCAGCCCTGAGCCGCCCGGCAGCGTTAACCTGCCTCAGCCCGGCCCACCCGAAACCCCGGCACAGGGCAGAATGGGGACAGCGGGTTCTGCCCTTCATCTGTGCGCGTCTCCCTGCTGTCCCTCCCTGCCCAGGGCCTCCAGGCGCTGCGGGAAGCGCTGCCCGCGCCGCGCGGCTCCGCGCGCTTCATGCTGAGCCCCTGCCTGAAGCCTGCGGGAAATACAAACCGCTCGGAGCCTCGGCAGGAAAGCAGGAGCCTCCCGCGCCCGTGAGCAAGGTCTCCTCATGGAGGGATTTACCTCTAAGGCTGAACAGCCTTGCAGCTTTATCCTGCATAGGGAAAAACAAGCTGGAGATTCCCGAGTTCCGGTAATCGCCCAGCAGGGCTTTGCAGCCCACTGAGCGCCAGGACGCCCGGCTGCATCTCCTCCACAGGGCACCTCTCATTCCCAGAGGAGGGACGAGACAGGGATTTCATCTGCTCGGAAACGCAGACACCGCAGTGTCACCTCTGCTGCTCGAGGGACTTGGTAGCAGCCCCTCACAATATTCACTGGTATAAGTCTCCCCAGCCTGGTGCTCCGTGCTTTGCTGCTTAGTTTATTTTAATCTTTATGGGGAAAAGGGGAGTGGCTGCTCCAAGTTTAAATAAAATAAAATAAAATAAAATAAAACTTTATACTAGACATATATCATATCAAGCTGAAAACAACCCTGAAGTAATTCTCTAGGAGACAGAAATTTTTACTTTGTTTAAAGCCTGAAATTTAGATTCTCTCCATTAAAATGTTAAAAGCTGGATCTTCCAAAGGAAGAAGGAAAAACACTTTTTCAGATATTTTTAATCCTATTTCAAATGACAAAAGCTTATTATTATTTATACCTTTTTCTGCAGTATTGGGAACCGCAAATAGATTCTGAACCAAGGTGAAAAGTGTCGTTATGGAGGAGGAGGTGGCTGAAGCGACCGGAGCGCGGGTGCCTTTCGGCTGCACCCTTTGTGCCTCCGCAGACCGTCCTGCGGCGCCGTGCTGAGCGCGCCCGTAACCGCACGGGTCCCTCACTGCTCTCTGTGCGCCTGCAAACGCAAACCGTCCGCAGAGCCTGCCACCACTGCAAGCAAACATGCAAATCCTACACTTCCGAGGCTGACAATTAAAACTACACTCTAAAATTGCTGAATATTTTCCTCCGATTATACGGCTGTCTATTTGTAAAGGCAAACTGAGGCTGTTGTGAAGACGTTTCCTAACCCCTAACATGCTTATCCCCACTGAATTTAACTTGGAAATACATCTCTTGCAAACAAGTCCAACAAATTCCCCAGATGCGACCCACAAGGACTGGTTGTATCAGTAAAGAATCACATTAGCAGCATTTTTTCTATCTTTTTTTTTTATCTAACATTTTTCTTTCTAAAATGGATGTTTTTGTGGAAAGCACAAGCACAGATAGCAAATACAATAGAGCAGTTTACAGATTTTCACCGTGGGTAGCCTCGGTTTTGTTAGCAAAACAAGGGAAGCCTTTTATTAACCAAAGAGCTTGACTCTAATCTTTCCTAAATTAGAAATTGCTGCAATGAAACTAAGGTAGCTTTATGCTTTATGAGAAAAGTGCAAGATTGCAGACATGCCTATGGCAGCGCTCTACCATGACATTATTTCTTTATAATGAAATATAGCGAAAGAAAATGACGGGCGTAAGAATTTTAATGCACCCCAGACACGCATTTGCAATGATTAAACACATCAGTACTTGTAAAACCCATGGGTCCAACTTTATAAACCTTTACTCAAGCAAGCAGTTTCACTGAAATCAATGGGATTATTTGCATATGTAAGGGCTATTTCTCCGAGTAGAGATTTGTAGGTTTAGGCTGCACGTTTCTGTTTTTCACATAGATCTGTGCTGCAGAATCCACAGCCTTGGAGTTAATTTTTATTTGTACCAGTGCAGTTTTCTCCGGCCCTCTAAAGCATTTGATAGACTGGGCAAGTTCCTTAATTCGAAACGTTGGCAAAAATACAATTTCCTGATGTGAAGAACTGTTACTCATGGATAATAAACAAAATCAATGCTTATTTGCATATTCAATCAGATTTTGGTTTGCATATTAAATCATAAGATGGGAGAATTTTCACACGGTAGATGGATCCACTCACTTATTTATGCGTATGTGCATCCAGGAATCCTCCACATGCCAAAACCAGTCAGAAATACCCTCTTTGCTAGGCGTTCACAGCACAAAACCCCTGTCCTTGCTGCAGTTCTCAACCTTCTCTTTTCATCCCACGTATGACAGACAGCACTCTCCCCAAGCTCCAACCTAAGAGGCTGTAAGAGCCCCTGTTCTCCATTAATTTTCTTTTCACTGGGCAAAGTAATAGTTTGAATTTTTGAATTATAATTTAAAGGAATACTGTCAAGTGCATGCATAAAGAAAAAAAAATGAAAAAAGAAAGAAAAAAAAGAGAAGAGACTGCATTTCCAAAGGAACTTCAGTGGGTACTTGACAATTTTGCCCGTAACTGTGTCTGCAAAAGAAAAGTGCATTTCTAACTCTTAATATGGCATTGTGCAGGTCTAGTCTATAGACTCAATTTGTAGGTTTAAACTCTGCACTCCTATTTTTCACGTGGATCTATAAGGAAACAGCATACACAATACTTGTATAGGACAGCACTTGCAATATATGCAATGTTTATATCGTCCAGAAAGCTCTAAATGTGCAGACAAAGGATAATGCCATGAGCTGTGCTGCGAGGTGCTGGATGCCTGCACCATCTCCGGGACGTGAAGGCAATCAGGGCTGTGAGAGACTAGATAACAGGTCTGACAGTCTTGTAGCCAGTCTGACAGTCTGGATGGCTAATCTGCATACAGAGAAGTGTCATATTCAAATGTATATAATTTTGTTCATTAAATTGAAAACTCAACTAGAATCCTGTACATGAAACTCTGGTTGTCTGCAGACAAGAAAGGCTTTCGTGTAATTAAAAAAAGGGGAAAAAAAAAAAAGTCAACACAAATGAACTTCAGAACTGAAAATGAACCTTGTTCTGCAGCATTTGCCAAGTCAAGCACAGAGAACTGACCAAGGGGAGGTGCCTGGGGTGTCCGAAATACCCAGGTACACAGGGCAGTACCGTGTCAGTCTGCCAGATGAGCCAAATGCAGACACCAGCCGGCATGAAGAGGCAGGCGCATATGTGGCTGGTAGAGTAATGCCAGCTTTGATCAACTGAAATGCAGTTCGCAGCAGGTCTGGAGGGGCTCACTTAACAAGGGGACAGCTCCTAACCTGGGGGGCTTTGCAGGTGAGGAGCGCAAGCAAACAAGTCATTCTTCCCAAATCTTGCACAACCCTCGCTGGAGGGGGGATAATTTGCACAGTCCTGTGCCCCCCAAGCACATATTCCCCCCACAAGTACCAAGGGCACCGTACTGCCCACGTGCAGGGTGTCCCCGACGGGGCACAGAAGCAACACTCGGCTCCTCCGCGCGCCTCCTCCTGCCAGCGCGCCCGCCGCTGCCTTCCCAGCCCTGAAAAACGCCAACGACCCACACACACAACCCAGAAAATGAGGGTTTCACCCAGTTATGGCTCTTAGGGCTCCCTGCGCTCCTTTGCTAACCCCGAGTTCAATCAATGCAAATCGTGCGTGTCCCAAAAGCCCCCAGGCGAGGCAGGGAGAAGCACATCAAGACCCCTACCTGCTTGGTTGGTGGTCACGGTGACGGAGACGGCTTGCTCCTGGCTGGGGTTCTGCTTGGACACTCCGTTCACCGCCCACACTTCGAAGGTGTAGTTGGTGTGCGCCAGCAGGTCCGTGATGGACACCTTGGTGGCCCTGAGGCCGTTCTGCTGGGGGCTGAAGTGCACCCCGCTGCCGCAGGACCGGCAGCGCCCCGGGTCCCCTGCCCCGCACCTCTTGCACACCACGTTGTAGGAGACGTCGTCCCGGCCACCCCTGTTCTGCGGGGGGCTCCACTCCAGGTTCACCGAGGTCTCGTTGACGTTGGAAATCAGGTTCTGGGGAGCAGAGGGAGGGCCTAGGAAGCAAAAAGGCAACATGCTTTTAGAAACTGAAAAAAAAAAAAAAAAAAAAAAAAACACAGCATCCACACATGAAGGGTTTGGGGTGATAGTGGATGTGTGCAGCTCTCAGTGGAGCCAATAGCAAAAAACATACAGAATTTTATTTGTCCAAATTTTTCATCTTCATTAAGAATAAACCGGTAAGTCAAACTCTATTGTCTTCATTTTAAGGATCAACAGCATTTTCAGATCAAAATTAATCTGAAAGCTCAGTACTGCAATCAAGTAAGATTCATTATAAGATTTTCACTGTCACTATTAATATTCACTATGAAAAACTAAAATATATAATTGATACAGCAGTATAATCATTTCCCATGAGCTCCCAGACAAAGCATCAAATACATAGGCTCCTGCTTTCCTTGAAATTTTCAGAGTCCCCCATTATATACACACACTATCACTGAAATCATTAATATCTCAATATTTTTGCCTTAGAATAAAGATGCAGTATTTTTCTAACAGCTCAACGTTAGGTTATGATTAGTGGAAACCAAAATCCATCAAATAGGGAAGGAAAAAAAAAAAAAAGGAAGGAAAAGAAAGAAACTTTGAAAAAATAAGAACTGTGAAGCTGTGAACTAAAGATTTAAGGAAGAATAAAGAGAGAGGAAGCTGTCACAAGGGAGTGCTGGGGAATGCAAAGGGATTGGGGAGAAAACACTGAAACACCGGGAGCAGGTAGAAGGGCTGATGCAGGAAAACTGGTGCGGAGCAGGGGACCATAGGTCACCTCTTGATGACTCACGGTGCCGCTGTGAAACAGGAGAGATTTAACGTGCTACAGAGTGTTTCACTGGCATTAAAATGCAGCCACTTCTGGGGCTGAAGGCAGAGCCCTCTGGAGATGGACACGGTACCAAGCTCAGGACTTCCACTGTGCCCCGTGGAAATGAAGCAGAGGAGGAGAATAAAGTACACAAAATACAGCCACCAAACTGGCAAACGGGGGATCCTGTGACCCCTTCTCCTAGTGACAAGCCATCTATACTGATTACTAAGACATATGTTGGGACCAGCAAAATAGTGGAAATAATTTAGTAGAAAGTCACAAAGCAAAGCACAATTTTTATTAAAGACAGAGGAGTAACAGCTTATGAAAGCAGCCTAAATTTCTCAAAATAAAGCAGACATGTAGAATTAAAAAAAAATCAATTTCATCTTCTGGCAGAAAAGAAACATGAACAGAAAATTCCTATGCTTGTTATTTGTCAAAAGTTATGAAATTGGGGGAAAAAATATAGCAAGCACCAACAGTTTTGCTAAGCGTATAAATAAATTAACCATAATCTCTCAAGTGCCAAAGGTATAAAAACACCCATCAGGCTATGCTAGGAACCAAATAAATTATGGTGAAATTCTGCAGAAATTACAGAGCGACTCGAGTGTAGCAATGAAGAGGTTAAGTCATTTAAGAGGTGCCTCTCTTTAAGATTAATTGTGTCTGCCTGGATCCACGGGGCACACCTAAAAGGCAGTCTGGATGCGAGCGGCTTTGAGGGCTGCATCGTGTCCTCGGGCCTGCGCCCGCCTCGGCGGGGACGCTGCCTGCGCCCGAGGTGACGCAGGGAGGCAGAGGAAAATCCGCAATTACACAGAGGTCAAACACATCTCCTTATCCTCAGCAGCTAAATGAATGGAGGGCACTGCAAGAGCAGCTGAGCAAGGGTTGCTTCTCCACGCTCACTTCACAAATATGAAATTAATATATTCATTTTGAGAAAAGGGAAATCCTCCCTTCCTGCCAACCCTTTGAAACCGTCGCGGAGTTAATTAGGGCTGACAGGCAGAATTACCGCGGTGCCAAGACAGAGCTCGGACGAGCCCTGCGACAGCAGGTCCTGCCTTTCGCACCACAAGGCTGCGGCTCAGGATTTATATTTATACTCTGGCAGTATTTAGAGCTGCTAAAGACAAGAGCCTTTTGCTCAGAGATCACTGACTAAACACAGAAAGAGACGTTTCCTGCTCTGAAGAGCTTAGAAACCAGCACAGAAATAAAAGGGAAAGGAACTGTTTTTGTCTCTGGTTATCGAGTGGAAGCCGAGGCACTGGAGAGGACACGAGCAGACCCGGGCACACGAGACGTGCTGCAGACCCAGGGCCGAAGCTCAGACCTGTGGGTGAAGCGGCAGCCCCGCGCTCACAGGAGCCCCGTTCCCAAGAGGGGCTCTCAGGCAGCAGCAGGTCAGCTCTGCTCAGCCTACAGACACACAAACCTGCTTTTAAAGACACGCTCTGAGCTCAGCGACGTGGAAGACGCTCCCCAAACCATGAACTCGAGCAATAACACACAGCTGCTGAGCAGGAACTAAAGTGCATCCCATTTACCCCCAGCTCCCATAGCTGCCCAGAGCCAGCAGGCACCAAGGGCCACAGCCATCCCTCGACATTGCCAGCAAGGCAAGAAAACCAGCAAAGGCATTTGGGGGAAAATGGGAGCCACCAGACACCTCAACGCTGAGTCGCTGCTGCTGCTGAGAGCACCGACCTGCAGCGCGGCCCGGAGAGCCGGGAACCACGGGGCTGCCCTGGAAAATGCAGCTCACGGCCCAAGAGGAGCCAGTGGCCCCAGGGCTGCCCTCCCTTCGGGGCAGCAGCCGCCCGCGGCCCTAGCGGGTGCCTTTATCCCAGGGACTGCAGCCACGTGGGGGTTAAACTCAGGCTCGCTCTGATGTCCATTAAGATATTTTCCAAGGCTCTAGGTCCAGTTTCACGTGGGAAAATGTGCCAGAATGAATCAAGCTCCTCAGAAGCAAGAAGTCAGTAATTAGTATGTGGGACAGGGCACTGCGGTGTCTAAACAGAGACGCAGCGAGGCGGAAACCCGGGGAAGCAGATGCTTGCAGGTCACGGAGATGAGCACCACCTCCCCGCCTGGAAAGGAAGGCGCGGGGGAGTTTCCCAGTGGTGGCTGGCCTTGCAGTTAGGGGAAAAGCCATTTCCTTTCTTTCTGGAGCAGAGTTGTTAATGGAGCTATCGGCACTGGGAGTGGGGAGCAGCTTCAGATTGATGGGCCTGGTTTCAGGTGTTGAAACTCGCCCGGCCATAGCTGCTTCTTCAACAGGGAACAGGATTCGCTTTTGTTTCTGACAGCGGGGCTGGAGCTGCTGCTCCCAGATGGGAGGAATACCTTTCCACAGACACGCTGGGCTCTAAATGTCAGTGTTGCTCCATGATAAACCCCGGCTGGCAGGATCCCTTGGGAAAAACAAGCGCTCACAGAGAAACCCTGCGGCCCCGTGGAGAAAAATCCAGCAACGGGACCGATCAGAGGGGAGATAAGGCGCAGCGCCTCCAAAACGCTGTTGCCAACCTTGGCAATTTTGTCACCAGGCCCAGGATTTACAGCGTTTTTCTGAAACCTCCTGCTGACAGTCATGATACTGCATGAGCCATTCAGCATTCCTTAAGCATAGAGCTAACAGAGTCCCACAGCCCATGAAACTTGAAAATATGAGAGTCCCAAGGGTGGAGGGAAAAGAAAAAAAAAAAAAAAAGGAGTTGAGAAACTTGCATTCTGTAAATTAAGCCATTTTAAAGTTCATTTTATGATTTTAGGAAGTCGGATGCTCCCTCTCACCACTGCACGACAAGAGAACAGCCGTTCACAAGTCTCAGGGAGAGTGGCCAAGAGGACACGCTCTGATCTCATGGGGCCTGAGAGCAGAGTCCTGCACCCAGCCCTCTTACTACAGCACCCGGACAGACACTGGGGATCCAGCCCTGCAGACAATGTAGGGATTGGAAGTCTTTTTTATTTTATTCCTTTTTAGGACTCCATAAATCTTGCTTCACAATAAACCTACCTAAATCAAGTGAGCAAATGGAAAGGCCTTGGGTGAAGCAAGTGCATTGTGTGTCCCAGGGCTCCAGGAAACACTGAAGAGTCTGTTTAGCAACAAATAATCTTTGTCAAGCTAATCTCGCTATCTCTTCCTCAACCCTCCTATTAGATTTACTTAAATGTGTTGGGCAATAGAGATTGTGCTTGGTTTTCCCAGGCTGCAATGAGCTATCACTGGTATGTCTACTTGTCTGCCTGTCTTTCACACACACACATATCTGTCTGACTGAAGAACAATGCTGAATCCCATGTCAAGCATTCAGGAAGACCACAGTGTTTAAAAGGTTAACAGCATGAGCATTGACTTGAACTCAAAGCACAATTGAGGACGACTGAGTGATATTTTAGCCTTCTTCCCACAACCTCAGGCTGCATTTTAACTTCTTTCATCCATCACTATTTCTCCCTCTCCTTTCCTATAAAAGCGCAAGTCCCTCTCCCAGTGAGAGGCCTCCAGGAAGCCACCATAAGACTAACAAAAAGCCTGCTGAAATCTAGAACAAGGCCAAACACCACCAACTGACCAGCAACCTCCCTCCTACCTTCCAAATCACAGGATGCATCCGTGTGCTATTTTTCCACATGCTATTTTCCTCTGAGAATTATAGGTCTCTGTGGGCATCCTTAAAGAGTCTTGGTGATTCCTGCTGGGACCAGGCTCTGGTCCGGGCACCACAGCCCAGAGCAAAGAGCCCGTGACCTCTCCTCGGGACTGAACACGCACACGTGGTGCCGAAGCGAAGGAGCTCGACTGTGAAGTGAAACGGGGTGCACATCCAACGAGCAGGGTGCAGGGGGCTGCTTCTTTGCAGTGCATTTTCAGCACACTGAGGTGTTGGCTCAAAGCCCGCCTCAGCAGAGGCCGTGGAGGACAGCGCTGGGGCCCTGCATAGTCTTGCTCTAACACCAGCCTGCTGAGGAAGGCAGCCCAGAGCCCTTTTTTTTCTTTCCTGCCATCAGAGAAGATCATTATAACTGTAGGAGATTCAACCAAGTGAAAGTGGCAAAATTGTTCTGTCGGGAAAGAGAAAATGTATCCCTGTGAACCCAGTAAACCATTTCAAAGGCAAACAGCACAAAGAGGATTAGCTGCAACTGAGCGAATGT